ATGATACCCTTTTGTCGGAACAAGCGCTATGTAAAAGATCTGTATTTATGATATTGGATGAACAAAATAGACTCATATTATTTTATATCAATTCTCTGTTTTGCTAGCCACTGGCCCTATATTTACTCATTGTATATGTCTCGATGCCTCAGTTTGGTGGTATACTCTACTGTCAGCTGGCAGGCCCGCAAGGTCACACGCGGAAAAGCGGAGGAGCTGCGGAATCGGCGTCATCATTCTGGCTCCCGAGACAACATTAAGTTAACTCTCCCACCAACCCTTGCCTGCACCACCGAATTCCCTCGTCCAAGCTCCACGGGCCTCTTACTCTATTTTATTTGTCTTAAATCCATTCACGCCCATACCTGGCAATGGTGTACTATCCGTCTTGAGCGCACCGAGCGTCTGATCTCCCCACGACCACCCCTATGCGAGCTGTACTACCGGGGAGACCCCCTGTGAAGCTCCAGTCTTTCGACACCGCGCTGTGGAATGGCCTTCGCGTTGTTGTAAGTTTGCACCATGAAGCAATTCTCGAAAGTCTATTGTCTGTTGTCGAGCTAACTCATTTGCGCGTCTTGTTAGGTGTACATCTCCGGCCAAGCACTGGTTATACTCGGAGGTCCTCACAAGCTCCTACAAACGATCTATGTCGATGACACACAGGCACTGGAGGCGGTCGCAATAAATGAAGCTTCAGGGAAGATTGCTGTTTGCGGAGGTCCCCATGTTTTCGTCTACCAGCCGTATGGGATTCTCGACGAAACGTTGAAGGTTTGTGGCTGCGCCTAAGGATGCTGGAGTTGAGCTGTGGAGCTTCTGAGAATGTTGAGTGGTACTAACGTCTTGGAACTTGATAGTGGTCGCTGTCCTCTACACTCCGCTACGAAAATGACGAAGAAACGATACAGACGATATCGTGGGGTTCCCACGAGGAGCTTCTTGTGGGAAACTCGTATTTGACACTCTGGTTTCTGAACGATACACCGCGGGCGGCATGGAGGCAAGAGTTGGCAAACCCTGTAAAATTCGCGCAGTTCTCGCCGGACTCGACCCTCATTGTTACAACGGGACTTTACGATCGCTTCGTCAAAGTATGGAGACGACTAGCGTTTGGGGCGGACGATGTGCGGTTTGATGTGTCGTACCTCCCGCATCCTCGCGTAGTGACGGGATTCCATTGGCGCCGGCCGCTACATGGAGAACAATCGATGGCGAACGTCTTTTACACGCTATGCGCCGACAATAGGATTAGAGTATGGGCGGCGGTTGATAAGCATGCTCCGGCGCCGCTACATTTCTGGACCCAGATCGATATGGGCGTCTCTGTACAACCACGACAGACGAATGGTACGGACATTTCTCGCCGTTACGGATTCATCATCGATAGTCGGGACTTCTGCAGTGCCACTGAGCGCGCAGTGGAGCGGGGCACAGGAAACAAAGGAAACCATGCATTGGAACACATTATAGAAGTGGCAAACAAGAGCCCAGAGATATGTGTCGTTATAGATGGCGAGGGCCACATGTCTGCCTGGGCATTGGAAGATGTCGGCTCAAAGACACAGTCCGAATTGAATGTGTTTAACATTCTGCATGTCGAAGGCTTGGATTTCTCGTTCTTGCGTGGACGCTCTGCGCAGGAAGATTACGCTCAAATATGTGCTTTTCAGAGCGCAGACCCGAAAGACACACTTTCGATTCTGATTCACCATTTTGATGGACGTATTGAATGGTTTGATTCGCAGGTTGACATTTTGTTTGACCCGGCCCCGGTCAAGAATCGGATAGCGCGCAAAGCATCCTGGACTGGACATATTGGGCCTGTCAAGAAAATAGTCCGCAACGCCTTTGGGGACACCCTCACCTCACGTACAGACGACAACAAAGCCCTGGTATGGAAGCAGAAACGGAGAGAAAGCGATTCGGGACTTACCCGTAGGAGTACGCTGTTTTCCGACGAGCATATCCACCGCAGTTGCGTAATCGAGAACGGAGATTTCATTGTTAATTTGCACCATAACGGGATATCTCTGTGGGACGTTCGCTCCTTTCATGCCGAGAAACTTGCATCTACGACATTTCAGCTCTCGAGTAAACCGCTCTGCGTCCTGGAGATGCTTACGCATGAGAAGAACGCCGGTGTTGTATACCTGGCGGCAATCGCCGCCGATATGACCGGAATTGCTTGGGAGGCTAGCCTTCCGATTAGGAAAGGACAGGACAAGTCCCAGTGTTACTTGAAGGAATTCTGCTCCTTTGATTTAGGACTGGAAGAGGACGTCGCATATTTTCTACCTGTAGATCCCGCCGGTCCCCGGACACAAATGTCTGGGTTTTTTGATCTCTTTTCTCCTGATATAGCGCTATCTTATACATCGACTGGCGTTGTCCGCACATGGACTGCGAAGGTCGATAAAGAGAATCGGCGCATAGAGTGGCTACTGACGTCCACTGTTGAGACGGGTATCACAAACCCAACACTTGCAAGTGGTAGCTCCATTAAGAAAGCTGCACTTGTAGACGAGGACCGAACACATTTAACTATTTGGGATACAAGCGGGGCTCAACTCGAGTTCGAGGAGCACTTCTCGCAGCAGGATATAATCCGCGACCTGGACTGGACGTCCACTCCAGATATGCAGTCCGTTCTCGCAGTGGGATTTCCACACAAGGTAATCCTACTCTCGCAATTGCGTTACGATTATCTCGATTCTGGCCCATCTTGGACGCAAATCCGCGAGATATGGATCCGTGATCTGACGCCTCACCCTATCGGAGACTCATGTTGGTTGAGTAACGGCCACCTTGCAATCGGGGCGGGCAATCAACTTTTTGTTTATGGGAACGAAATTGACGCTGCAGACCGTTTGGTGTCGCAGCTTCGTATACCTACTCGGGGCTCGTCGACTGTTGGTCTTTTCGAAGTCGTAAGCAGGCTGAATGGCTCACTTCCTGTATTCCACCCGCAATTCCTCGCCCAATGTATTCTCAGCGGCAAGACGAACTTGGTGCATTCGATATTGATGAAACTTCATCGGAAATTGAAGTTCTACACCGAGGGTGACGATATGGACGGTTTTCTGGAGATGCCGCTAGAGGACATTTACTGGGATACTGACGTAAGTTGAATTCTAATAAGTCTGTTTCTTGGGCTAACATGGAGAAGACACCACAAAAAGCGGTTTCTAAAGAACTGAACTCGTCATATGCGGACCTTTCCCTGGACGATGAGCCGTCAGTGATGGACGAGGATACCGCGGCCATTCTCAATGACAATCTTGCCAGAGTAGCTTTGCCGCAGCTTACCAGCCAGGAACAAGTCCGACTGGTTGATACGATTGAATGCGTTGCCACTGTTGAAAAGCACCGCCGTTCAATGGATGATAATGCTGCCCGCTATCTTTTGTTTTTCAGACAACATATGCTGCGCAGGACCCAGGGGATTGCAAATAAGGTCACAGTGTCCTGGCGAGAGATAGTTTGGGCCTTCCATAGTAGCAGCCAGGACATCCTCCTGGATCTTGCGTCTAAGCAGTTTGGTGGAAAGCTGTCCTGGAAGGCTGCTCGCGAAAGTGGAATGTTTATGTGGTTGTCGAATCCAGTGACAATTGTAAGGACGAAGCCCTTTTCGATGAGGCATTGGCTAATAGTTTGCAGCGAGAGCAATTGGAGGTAGTCGCCCGGAATGAGTACACCAAATCAGAAGACAGGAATCCAATCGATTGTTCTTTGTACTACTTGGCCCTCCGGAAGAAGAACATCCTTCAGGGTCTTTGGCGGATGGCTCATTGGAACCGTGAACAGTCTGCGACTCAAAAGTTGTTGGCAAACGATTTCCGGGAGCCCCGGTGGCAAACAGCTGCTCTGAAGAACGCATATGCTTTGCTTGGAAAGCGTAGGTTTGGTAAGTTCCCTATGGCCCAGTCACTTGATGATACCCTAGCTCACTCAAAACAGAATATGCCGCCACATTCTTCCTCCTCGCGGACCACTTGCGAGATGCTGTTCATGTCTGTTTGAACCAGGTTGGCGATCTTCAACTGGCGATTGCCATCACCCGTGCCTACGAAGGGGATGATGGGCCTGTTTTGAAAGAGATTCTGGAAACGAGAGTTTTGCCTGAAGCTGCAACTGATGGGAATCGGTGGATGGCTTCATGGGCTTTCTGGATGCTCGGCCGCCGCGATATGGCTGTGCGATCGCTGATTGTGAGCTGCACAAACTGATACCGCAAGAACCCAAGCTAACTGAATCCCAGTCTCCCGTCGAGTCACTTATCCCTTCAACACCGAGCTCGCCTGAGACTCCTGGCTCAGTCCCCATACAAGCCAAGTCCTACTTGTCCAACGATCCGGCACTGGTTGTCCTATACAAACAACTCCGGGAGATGACACTACAAACGCTTAAGGGTGCCTCTAAGGTATCCGCCAAAGACGAGTGGGACTTTGTTCTCCGCAATGCACGCCTGTATGATCGAATGGGCTGTGATCTCCTCGCCCTTGACCTTGTTCGCCACTGGGAGTTCCTGAAAGAGCCCCAGTCCACGCAACTGACGAAGGGCGGCGGTATCAATTTGGTCGATGGTGCTGTTGATTACCGTAAGATGCTTCGGCGGAGAAGCAGTCTTGTTGTTGCAGATATGCCGACCAAGAAGAGTCTGGGAATGGAGCCGACCACGCCGAAGAAGCCGCAACCGCCGCCGACGATGTTCCATGAGCCTGATGCGAACTCTTTGCTTGATAGTTTCGGGTTTTAGCGTGCGTATTCTGTGTTGATTTACGTATGTGTATATTCTAGGTGGCTGGAGCCTTTTATATTTATTATTTAGATGGGATTCATCTCGTGAACGACATTGCTATTCATAAGTGACATATCTGAATCTAAAGCAAACACCAGGAAAAGAAAGTATCAGGATCTTCCACGCCCAGAACGCCAACCCATAACCGAAAACACATTGTCACATCACATCATATAAACCTAAACCGACTCAAACCAATCTAACGACCCAAAAGCGACAGCCTCCTCTGCTGCCATCTCCCCGGCATAACACCATTGGGAGGATGCGAGACATGCCCCTTAACCGTCGCATTGGTCGGCACAGTTCCATTCCCAATCGCAGGTGCATGACTATATCCACTGCCACTGCCACTTCCATCGGAACAATCAATCCTCATATACACCTCCGAAAGAGGCATATATCCCGGACTCCGCTTGACACACTCGCTCTCGCCACCAGTCCCAGAACCCACAGCGAACTCGCGCCGGATGAGCACCGGCTCGTAGCACCCCGGCTTCTCGAAGAGGCGCACCGTGCACATCTCGATGTTGGGACGGCTCTCCTTGCGGCGCCAGAACCCTGCCACTGAGACTGAGCTTGGACTTGGGGTTGGGCTTGGTATTGTAGGTGTTGTGCTTGCGACTGCACTTGAAGTTGGGTGCATGCTTGCACTTGGATGAATACTTGGGCTTGAGCTCGAGGTTAGGCTCGAGTTTGCGCCGCCGTGGCCGCGCTGCCGCTCGTCGATCTCTAGAGCGAATGAGACGTGGTCTACCTCGTTGAGATAGCCGAGGGGGATGGGGACGGGGACGCCCTGGCAGACGCCCTGGCGGATGTTCATGCTGACGGTGAATCGCTCATCGAGGTCGAGGTCATTTGGGGTTTGGGAGTTGGATGGGCATGATGGGCCGAATTTTGTGGTGATGCGGTGTGTGCGGAGGGAGTGGGCTGTTGTTGCGAGGAGGGTAAGGAGGATGGAGAGCTGGAGGGTTGGGTTAGTGGGGGTGGAAGTAAGATGAGGAGAGCACATACTGTTGCCCAATACATTGTTTCGGGTTGTAAGTCGTATCTTGAGAAAGTGATAGGCAGGTGGTTCTTATTTGGTGGAGAAGTATAGGCTGGTATAGAGGGTTTGATATCGGCAGCGGCTAAGATGCACTGATCGTAGTGTAGAGATATTTCAATGTAGATTGATTGATTGATTGATTGATTGCTTGATGAATCTCCAAACACTCCGGTATCAACAGGCCATTAAATATCCTATTTTCCCCTACCAGCCAGCCGATTTTGCCACTCCGTGCCTCGCATCTCTAGATGTGTTTACATGGCTGGGTCTGGGAGGGCTGGGAAGAACGGACTCGACACGACAAGGCCTGAATGAAGCCACGCGATGAAACGCGATGATATCCCTATATCTCAAATGTCTCAGCCTCTGACAGAATTGTGGAATGTGGGAGTTGAGCCTTGCGTCTGCGTCTCCGCGACGGCGTGAAGTATGGAGACGCCGCTACGGACATTCCATTCAGCAGCTCTATCATGCCATGTGGAGGTCTTATTGGCTGCGTCGCGCATCTCACATTCCTGTCTTTTACTGGCGCGTGAGTTTATTTATTAGGAGCATAGCCCGCGTCTCGTGGTTTTGGTACTGGATTGGAATGATGTACTTGGTGAATTGGGAAGAATTGTCAGTCATTCGAGTCTCAGATTCAGAAGTCAGCTACTATACTGTAATTAAAGAGTTCTATTGCGTAGTAATTCTATCAGGCCACGACATTGATAGGTTGCCCTGATGTCCAAGCTTCAACCGCCTTTTTTAAATTCATCGCGTAGTTGACGGAGGTTCTCTGGGACAGCCAAGCAAGATGCGGTGTGGCAATAATGTTAAGATCCCCAGCATATTCCGCGAGTAAGGGCGTGGTTCCAGGACCTGCAGGCTCCTCTTTGAATACGTCTGTGGCTGCCCCCGAGATTCTGCGCTCGCGCAATGCCTGGACGAGGGCCTCTTCGTCCACAGTGCCACCTCGGGAAACGTTGATCACCAAGGCATGCGAGGACATGGATTCAAATTCCGGCGTCGAGATAAAATTCCGAGTTGAGTCGGTAAGCGGCACAGCGACGAAAAGTACCGTGCTTTGCTTGATGACCGAGTCAAACGGAACCCTTGAAGGGTCTGAGGTATCAGCACTTGATACCTTGCGATCGGATACCAGGACCTTCATTCCTAGATTACGTGCCATTGTGGCGATTCTTTTTCCTGAAAGTCGCGTTAGAGTCTTGCAGCTTGTATAGGAGGGGATTGGCCGGGCCCCTACCAACGCTTCCGTTTCCAATAATGCCAGCAACTTCGTCCTGGCAAGTCAAAGGCGGAGTCCCATCCTTATCAAGATAATCAAACATCAGCAATCCGTGCTTCTTCCAGTTCCCTGCTCTCGTTGACAGGTGCATGTCCAGATATCTTCGCCGCGTAGCAAAGTACAATCCTATTGCGTGCTCGGACACAGCCTCGATATTGGAATTGGGACAATTGCAGACAACGATTCCTCTTTTCCGGCATGCTTCAAGATCCACGCAGTCGTAGCCCGTAGCGACCATGGCGATGAGCTTGAGATGCGGGCTGTTCTCGGCTGAGAGTGTAGTGGCGTCAATTCGGACGGCAGATAGAACGAGAATAGATGCATCTCGAACGCGCTCTGCAACCTCGGCAGGGGTTGTCCAAGCGTGAACAGTCTGCGAGTAGGTGAATGGTGCGGGGAGGTTGAACTGGGGTACGGGGACCGCCGCTCCCTGCAGGAAGACGATGTGGTGATGCTGGGCTGATGGAAGGGCCATCTCGGTACTTGGATATTAATGAAAGAAGTCCCAGATAGTGAGCGGACTTTCAGATATTTATTGCTGGGTTTGTCGGCTCCCTTTAAGGCCTCGCAAGCACGGTGGGGCGACGCCCTGTGGGTGACATCTTGAACCCCAAATAAACAGATCCATTAGTGCAAACATGTCTTGATTGTACCTGGACTCAGTCTTAAGAGAATGGCTCTGAGAGTAATTTGTGGAACAGAGGTTATATCCATGATGCCATGTGAGAGAAACAGGTTGATTTTTGTGACTCACTGAGCAGGAGCTGTTCATATAATTGGCTATACTTAGGCCTCAGATCATCCTACTAGGACCCTTTAGAAGAGCCAGGCTACTGTGGCGTATGTAAGTAATACCACAGCACGCCATATACTGCTAAACTTTTTAATCTATTGAAAAGAAGAGGAGGTTCAGTGTTCCTTGTCAGCTTCTTTGTTGCCAAATACTATGACGACCGCCAGCAACCCCGCCCCCACCAGGGACTCAACCCTCACATATCGCGAAGTCACCGAGGACAACTGGCGAGCGGTAGCAAATCTCAGCCTCAAACCCGGCCAGACAGGCAATCTTGCCCCCAACGTGTGGTCTCTCTGCGAGGCAGCTTATTCTGAAGACGCATGGGTCCGAGCCATCTATGCCGACGAAACACTTGTCGGCATGTTGATGATGGCCATATGGGATCCTGACGAGGCCTACTATATCTGGCGATTCATGATCGACGGTCGGTACCAGGGCCTTGGATATGGTCGACGGGGCGTGGAATTCGCGATCGCGCACATCCGACAGCATAATCCGCGAGCAAAGACGCTGGGGGTGATGTCGACGCCACCAGAAGGGAAAGCAAGCGAGAACCCGCTCAAGGTCGTGAAGCCGGAGGATTCGCCTTTTGATTTTTATCGGAAACTTGGCTTTAGGCAGACTGAGCCGCCGGATGAAGATGGAGAGATCATGATGTCGATAGACTTGTAGTGGCCATCTTGAGATAGACCTTCCTCCAGCTACTTTTTACCTGGAAATCTTTCATCTGCTTAGTAGAAGTACCAAAGTCCAGATCATTGTAAGAACATCATACGGTGGAAGCAGCTGGTGTGGAGATGTGGGCCTGCTTATCGCTTATCGCCAGCTTAGTCATTGCGCCTGTGACGCCTCTCTTCCTCCAACTTTCCTCCAACATCAACTTCCCCTCCGACGTTTCTGACGGTGTTTGTCATTGTTATATGACTAGGGACCCGGCGTATTGTGCTGTTGCATGCTGTGATTTGAACAATAGCCGGCGCGGCCTCTGAGTTGATGAACTATCAATCCATTACGCCAGGCTCCTGGCCGGGTGATGGCGACGACAACTCCAGAATGGCACCAAATACGTCCTTGCTTAACAATGGCAATCGTCCAAGAGATAGCCTGGACAGCGATACATCACACCGACCCCACGAGATGCCTCCGCCTAGCTTCACTTTGAGGTCCCTGCTGGTTGGCCTCGTTATCGGCGCCCTGATCACCTTCTCGAATACCTACTTTGGGCTGCAGACGGGTTGGATCAGTACAATGGCCATGCCTTCAGCATTGATCGGGTTTTCGGTATTCAAAGTCTTTTCGAAATACCTCTCCTACCCGTTCACGCCCATCGAGAATGTCCTGATTCAGACCGTGGCCGGAGCTGTAGGGACGATGCCTCTTGGCTGCGGGTTTGTCGGAGTCATCCCCGCTTTGGAGTTTCTTATCAGGGACGGAGAAGATGGGCCGTCGAGTGATGGCGGTACTGGGGAGGGAGGCCCGTTGAGAATGAATTTCTGGAAATTGGTTCTATGGAGTCTGGGGGTCTGTTTGTTCGGTGTTGTCTTTGCCGTGCCCCTGAGGAAGGAAGTGATCGTCCGCGAAAAGCTGAAGTTCCCCAGCGGGACGGCGTCGGCTTTGATGCTAAGGGTTTTGCATGGTGGTGGGAATAGCGAGAAAGATGCACAAAGAAGCGTTGCTGGCTCGACGCGGGACCAACAAGACGAAGAGCACGCCCAACCCTTGCTGTCACGGGGCGTCGAAGAAAGAGGACCTATGCCGCAGCAGGTTGCTCAAGAATCTGAGGAAGTGAAAAGAGACTGGAGGTCAAAAATGCGTCTCCTAGTCGGCGCATTTGCGCTGTCTGGCGTTTATGTAAGTCCTCATGATCTTGATTATAAGAACAACATTGACCAAAGTAGACACTCTTCTCCTACTTCGTGCCCCAAGTCCGCGACATCCCGATTTTGGGCGTTACCCTTGCTAGTAATTGGCTGTGGACACTGAATCCATCTCCGGCATACGTCGGACAAGGAATTATTATGGGGCCCTCGACCTGTATGCACATGCTTTTCGGGGCTGCGTTGGGTTGGGGTATTTTGTCGCCGCTAGCGAAAGCTCGCGGGTGGGCACCGGGCCCGGTGGACAGTTGGGAAGATGGAAGCAAAGCGTGGATCGTCTGGGTATCTTTGGCCATCATGCTGGCGGACTCCATTGTCAGCCTGGGCTGGCTGGTAGTGAAACCTGCTGTTGGGGCTGCACCGAAGATCATGAACAGGTTTTTCAATACCCGAATTGGACATTGGGTTGCGTCGAAAAGCCCAACACCGATTCCAAGCCGCTATTCCTACCAGTACTCAGCCCTAAGTCCTATCTCAGAAGAATCGTCATCCCCGAGCAATGGTGCTCAATCTGGGCTCGATTCGAAAACCTCCGACGATGACGATGCACCTCCATCTCAACTTATTTCCATGCGAACGGTTCTCATTTTACTTCCGTTGACTCTGATACTGAATGTCATCTGTATGCACGTCGTCTTTGGCGATATCATATCACCCCTTCTCTCCAGCCTCGCCACACTTCTCGCCGTTCTCCTGTCAGTCATGGGCGTTCGCGCCCTAGGCGAGACAGATCTCAACCCAGTCTCCGGCATCAGCAAACTGACCCAACTACTTTTCTCTATCGCAACGCCATCGTCCCATTTCTCCCGACGCACGGCGCTCGTCACCAATCTCCTCGCGGGCGCTGTATCCGAATCCGGCGCGCTCCAAGCCGGCGACATGATGCAAGACCTAAAAACAGGCCACCTCCTCGGCGCAAGCCCTAAGGCCCAATTCTACGGCCAAATTATCGGTAGCCTTGTCGGTGCTGTCCTTTCTACTGCGGTCTACAAGATGTACGTCAACGTCTACGAGGTCCCAGGCCCGATGTTCCAAACACCCACAGCATACGTCTGGATATTCACTGCGCGCCTTGTTACAGGCCAGGGTCTTCCGCCAATGGCATGGGAGGCCTCCACAATTGCCGGTGCACTCTTTGTGGCTATAACCATCCTCCGGATCGTCGCTGTCTCCCCAGTTGCCAACGGCGGCCGACCCTACGGCACTCCAGCCCCTTGGCGATCTTGGATTCCTGGCGGTATTGCAGTCGCCGTTGGCATATTCAATGTGCCCTCGTTCACACTTGCTCGAGCCATTGGCGGTGTCATTGCCTGGTGGTGGTCTCGGGGACATGGCGCTTCAAATGGTGAACTCAAGCCAGAGACAGAGCCCTCGCAGACAGACGGGTTAACGCAACCAGCGGGGAGTGATGACAGGCGTTTTATTACTTCGGGTCGCCAACCTACATCCGATGCGGCTACGGACAGAACTGATGCTGCAGATGCCGCTGCGTCTAGCGTCGTCGTCTTGGCTTCTGGGTTGATCCTCGGGGAGGGGATCATGAGTATCGTCAACCTCCTCCTGGCTAGTGGGGATGTTCCTCATCTCTAAGAAATTGTCGGTAATGAAAATGCACGTGGGGTTTATAATCATAGTATATAAAAAGCGTTGGTTTGTTATACCTAACTAGATGGACTACAATCATTGACGACTAGAAATGATACTGATGGAGTCGATTTATTGTCTCATCTGCCTTGTCTAATTTATAATTGCAACCTTTAATGCATTTGATGGCGCTGGTCGGAGGGTGAGCTTATAGATCAGCGAGCCCGTGGACATTATTTTGCATCTCGCATCTGTTTTAATTCTGGCAGAGATGTCGAATTAACGGCAGTGAGAATATCAAAGCATTAGCTTGGGTACGTTGCAGTGGCCCTAACTGCTTTATATGGAGCACCCCGAGAGCTTCTGCCAAGAACACTTGTATAGCATCATCATGCATACGAGTCTCGAGTCTGGACTAAATACTAGTTAGTATAGCCAGGTTATATAAGCCTATTAATAACCGTATTCCCCTCAGAATCGAATCGTGTCAACCGTGTCAAACCTCGGTGTAAATCCCCGCATTACATTTAACCCCGCATGGATAGCATGACAATAACAGCACGGAGAGCCGAAGAAAACTTCTTTTTAATATACGGAATGCTTAACAGCAAGTAGCTAAACAATAATGTCCTCCACCAGTAATGGTAGCACCCGCAGCTACACCGTCTTGGAGGAGCCACTCGGCACGCCGTCGCATCTTAGGGTTGTGATGGTCGGTGGTGGAGCGAGTGGCCTGAATGTCGCCCGGCATATGAAGCTGCACATGGAGAACTACGAGCTTCAGATATATGAGAAGAACGAGGATGTTGGAGGGACGTGGTTTGAAAATAGGTATCGTACTCTACATATCCATCTCTTTATTAGATTTCTAATGCCGTTGCAGATACCCTGGCTGCGCTTGTGATATCCCATCGCATAACTACCAGTATACCTGGGAACCTAACCCGGATTGGTCGCATTTGTGAGTACATCTGCATAAATGTATTTGGATGTTTGTATCTTGACCTGTGATGTTATGCCAGCTATTCCGCCCATAGTGAGATTCTCCGCTACTTCAAAGGCGTTGCGTCCAAATACAGCCTGTATGACTATATCCGCCTGAACCACAAGGTATCGAGTGCCGTATGGGACGAGGACGCGAAAATATGGAGGGTAGAAGTGCAGAATGTGAAGACGAACGAGGTCAAGCAGGATTGGTGTCATGTCTTTCTCAATGGATGCGGTGTTTTGAAGTGCGCCACCCCAATCCATCTTGATTGAAAGAAGAGACTGACTGCAGTCACCACGGAAGCAAGTGGAAATGGCCTGACATCGCGGGCCTTCATTCATTCGCAGGAGATCTTATCCACAGCGCCGCCTGGCCCGAGGGCCACGATCTGACAGGCAAGACAGTCGCCGTGCTGGGATGCGGATCGTCTGGCGTGCAGATTGTGCCGACCATCCAGTCAAGTTCGTCGTGATAGCTTCAGTTTGACTTCGAAGGGATTGATTCTAACGGCAGTAAACCACTCTAGAGGTCAAGTCCTTGACCACATTCATCCGGACCCCAACTTGGATCACAGCTGGATTTGCACAGCGGCATGCCGGTCCAGGAGGTGCCAATTTTGCTTGTATGCAGAAGTTTTTTTTTGCAGTTTCCAGTTTGTTAAGATTATTGCAGTACTGACCTGATATCCAGTCAGCGACGAGCAGAAATCTCACTTCAGAGACCATCCAGATGAATATCTCAACTACAGGAAGCAAATCGAGGGCGAGCTCAACCAGCGATTCCGATTCGTATGTTTTCAATCTTCATCCTCCAATTTGTCAAGATCGAACAGGCTAAACAAAGCAAGGTAGATTATCGCAGATAGCCAGGAACAAGCAGAAGCCCGAGAATACTCCTCCAAGGAGATGACGACCAAGCTTTCCAACGACGAGCGCCTGGTCAAGGCCTTACTGCCCGATTTTGCTGTGGGCTGTCGCCGTCCAACTCCAGGCAATGGATACCTGGAGGCTCTGACCAAGGAGAATGTCCGGGTGGTTACGGACCACATCTCTCACATCGTGCCAGAGGGAATCGTCCTAACAACAGGCGAGATTATCAAGATCGATACCTTCATCTGCGCCACGGGATTCGACCTCTCATTCACACCGAGTTTCGAGCTCGTAGGCCGTCAGGGAAAGACGATGGCCGAGCAGTGGAAGACTAAACCAGCGGCATATTTATCTTTGGCTGTGCCAGGGTTCCCAAATTATTTCAGTGCGCTCGGCTCATTCACTTAATTCCTTTGCTTGTCATCAGGTACTGACTGATGCTCTTGGTAGTGTTCCTCGGCCCAAACGCCCCAGTCGGGCATGGCAGCATACTACCCATCATCGAGCACACGACCAAATACGTGATCAACTTCCTAAAGAAGATGCAAACGCAGGATATTTGCTCCGTTATGCCATCCCAGGCAGCGACAGAGGAGTACGATATCCATGTCGCGACATTCATGCAGCGGACCGCGTGGGCGACGCCATGTCGCAGCTGGTTCAAGAACGGCACTGTTGATGGGCCCATTACGGCCCTGCACCCTGGCAGCCGCATCCACTGGTTCCATATGCTGAGTGATATTCGGTTTGAGGACTGGGAGTTTGGGTATCGCTCCGCAAACCGGTTTCGGTACCTGGGGAATGGGTTTTCGACTAGGGAGGGGCCCGGGAGGGATACGACTGGGTATTTTGAGTGTCCGGAGGAGGGTTATAGGTGTTACTGAGGTGAGAGACTAGTTGGGCTAAGTATTGATAGCTAATAGTTTGACTTTAATACTACTACCAGATCCCACTACGGAGCATACAGGACGATAGGTTAGAAATAGATTGTATAACATACCAAGACGACTTAAGCTAGGTACAGAGATAGGTATTTAATCAAAATGATATAACATGCAACTGTAAACCGTAATTTGTTACGGAAAATTCTACAAATCTTGGACAGAAAGGGGTATATCCCGTTAACTGGGCATTTGCTCGGAATCCTTTCCTTCTTTTTCTTATCGAGGCGCAAGGAATTTCATCTCGCGGTTCGTTCAACCAAGAACGCGTCTTATGAAACGTCAACAACATCAGTGGTAGAAATCAGGTTGGAAAAGTTCAAAAGTAATTGATTGGTTTGATAAAAGAAGATAAAAAGGGATTGGGAGAATAAAATGTAGAAGAATTTGACGCTCGGACAAATGGTAGGTTAGGATAGTTGAGGATGCTCTATTATAGGCTATCCTGGTACCAATGTATTGCTTTCTGGTAACTGGTTGATCATGCGCATTTAAGCGTCGTTTGCAGGTGGTGCAGGGTTTGTCGGAATTGCCGGAAGTGCACTTGATGGTGGTGGTGCCGTAGGGCCGGATAGGGGACTTGAGCCGGGTCCGGGGGAAACTCGTTGAGGAGCACCGGTACTGTTGCTACGCTGGCGTTGGTTGGCAGCTGGCATATCCGGCCTCTGTAAGCCGGGAGGACCGTATGGTCCTGGGCTCATTGAACGGGGTGGCGGTTGTCGAGGTCCACCTGGAGATTGTGACCTTGGAACTGCCGGGAATTGGCCGGGTGACATCGGGCCTCTAGGCTGAGCATGCGGAGGAGGTCCGTAGCCACTGTGGGCAGGAGACATAGGACGCGAAGATGGAGAGGCGGGTCTGCCGCCATCTCCGGGGTAGAAGCGCGGGGATTGCGACGTGCGGCCCGGTGGTCCCATCATCGGAGAGCCTTGGGGTCCTGGAGGTCCACGGGGCCCGGGGCCAGGGCCGGCTCCGGGGGGAGGGGGTCTTGTTCGAGGCTTCACCGGACGAGCCGATAGGCAGGACCGAGGAACAACTCCTTGCTGCGAACGGTCCAGTCTCACGCAGAGAGCCCATCCGTCATCATATTCATGTAGAAGCCTGACAAGCTGACCACCGCGGAGCTCCAGTTCATCCTCCATTGAAGGTACGAAATCCAGCTGCACGCGGTGAACATTGGCTGGTGCTGCGGGAGAACCGGGACCAGGAGGCGGAACTGCACCCATGGGGCCTAGGGCAGGGTCGACAACATTGGAATTAGGAGCCGTGGGAGCAGGTATCGACGAGGCTTCCGAATCAGCGCTTCCTGGACGACTAGGGGCATCCTTGTCGGCATTGTGAGCAGCAGTGGCAGCGGCAGCACCAACGGCAACTCCACCCACAGCCGCAGCCGCAGCTGCAGATCCAGCAGGTGCAGCAGGTGCAGCAGGTGAAGCAGGTGAAGCTTCAGGGGACACTGGGACCTCTGGCTGGTTACCGGCAGTGGAAGGACGAGTCATAGCAGAAACAGGAGAGCCGCCGACCTCTGCATCTCTGCCGAAGGGGTTAACAGGGTCGCCGAAAGGATCACGACCGCTGACACTAGACTCGGGTGAATGGTTCTGGGGTGTTTGGGGTGGAGAGTTGCCAGTGAGGTTACGCTGAGAGGCACCAGCAGGCGCAAGGGCTGCAGCGGTGCCGATTGAAGATGTGGGCGTAAAACCACCTTGGATTGGAGTCAAGTCGGGAGCAAACTGGGTGATAGGGCGGACATTGAGTTGAGGAGCATTACCTCCAGTCATGGGCTGGTTGCTAGGCGGAGGTGCCTGGGGCTGTGGTGGGTTGTTATAGGCAGCATATTTCTCATTTGAGGCATCGTTTGCTTCGAGTCCTTCGCCTTGCTGTTGCTGCTTCTTCTTCTTCCAGATAAAGAAGAAGATCAAAGCAGCAATCGCTCCAACACCGAGAACCACACCAATCGCAATTCCTGCCTTGGCACCTCCAGTGAGACCGTCAGACCCAGAGTCAACAGTATTTGCACCAGAGCCCGTCTCACTGGACTGGTCAGCAATGAAGCTGGAAGTGGGAGCACTATCGGAATCAGTTGCGCTCGATGTGAGAGTCGCCAGAGTGGTGTGCGTGTTCGACGTTGTGTCAGCGTCAGCGTCATCCGTAGCGGTGGTTGTTGTGGTGCTGGTAGTCTTGACTTCGGTAGGTTTGGAATCTTCAGTAGTAGTTCGAGTCGGCTTGTCCTCTTCTGTTGTAGTCTTGTCCTCGTCCTTGTCATCATCGTCCTTGTCTTGTGTTTTTGTCTCCGTAGGCTTGTCCTCTTCTGTCTTGGTTTGAGTTGCTTGGACAGGCGCTCCCACCCCAACGTTGGTCCTGGTAGCCGGTTCATCATCCTGCCCCGAAGTGGAGTATCCACCTATTTCGCCTTCGAAGGTCGGGTCTGCCGTGACGTAGACAGTGATTCCATCGGGGTCTCGCTGTTCAAGTTCAGGATCGCGCTGCTCAAGGTGGGCTTTATGCCCATGGTGACCGTGTGCGTGAACCATTATGTTCGGTTTTCTTTTTTTTTTTTTTGTGCGGGGATATCACGTCCTCCGTCACACACTATCTATTCAGATAAGATGAGTTATTCAAACAAGAGACATATGCTCGGCGATCCGTGTAACGTGGGTTGAGTCTATTGCTTGGGGGATCTTGTACTCAGCAAGTCCGGCAAGGGGTGACTGGGGGAGAGTATTTCGGCGGGGATAAGGCCGGTAGATATCGCGGACGCCCTCTGGGCTGTATTCTGAAGCGATCGAACGCGTTCAATAGCGAAAAGGGCGCAAGCGCGTTTTAAAGAATGTGGGTGGAAAGAACGGAAAGTATGCGTATACTCGGCGATGGCTGGACGTCCACCGAAGGAGATAAAAGAATGACAGCGAGCTTCCAGGCTGCGATAATGCAAAACGAGAGAAAAGAAAGGAAGGGAGAAACGCAGAGGCCCCGCGAATCGGGAGGGAGAAGGAAAGGCAGTGGTGAGATGAAGTGAGGAGGACGGACTGTGATGACCGAGCGAGCGATTCTTGTGATGAGACTCGGACGCCCAGTGAGACCGGTATTTACCGTGGATTACCAGCCTTGAGGGACAAACGAAATGAGATCGAACCTAAAGGATCAAGCAGGCCAATCGTAGGGGCGCGTCCTCAGGAATGGCTGCAGCACGCTAGCCGTATGAGGAGAGGTTGCTGGGACGCCCCGCTCTCGCCAGGGCCGGGCTCATCGTGGTTGGCCGATTATTGATACGGTTCCTGGTTTGTGGAGGGTCGGTAATGTAAACAGGGACACGAGCAACTCTCAACGGACGAGTCAATGCTCTCTCTTTCATTTCTTGTTCACGAGCTGATCACAAATCACAGGCCCGCCACCAGTGCAATTTGCGCTATATTTGGATACAGAATCACAACCTTGAAAGATTGAATCAAGGACTCAGGCCCCGATTCATCCCACGCTTGTCCTCTAAATCTCTTGTCCGTCCCACAGCCCTGGAGAAATCATGGTTCTGTCCCTCCGGCCCTGTTCAGGGGTAATCTGCCACTGCCCACGGTTGACGAAAATGTCGACCCGTGGCTCAGACACCCAAGAAGAGGAGAAACACTCTGGTTGTATCTTGATTCGTCTGGAGTGTCGAAATTTTATGCCTAGTAATAAGACTGCTTCATAAGATGACGGTGGTGTTTAGTGCTCACTGCCCATTTCTCCGGTCTCCCCGAGCGTTTTGCGGTTTCCCTCGCTTGTTTGATTGTTTCCCTCGCCTGAGGAAGAGCACTGGGTCAATTGGGCCCTTATTATTATTTATTCATTACGGGGTATTATGGACCCTTCTCTCCGCCTCGGTCGCAATAATCTTGCAATTCTGGATTGTCTGCCAGTCAGCCTTGCGCAGTTTTCTTGATGAATGTTGTCACCCCATCCCCTTAGGGCCGACTTGAAACAGACCGTCAAATCTTGGCCCATTATTTCCTTCGGCTGCAACGGCCTCGCACTCAGCCACCACAGCTCCGCCCGAGGTTCGAACTGAAGGCTATTCGCTAATTGAAACAAATGTTGCCGTCATTGACACTGAACTATTTTAATGTCTCGTCCTGCTTCGAGCTGGTGAATACTGACCGAACACCTGCGGCAGTGGTATGCAGGCAGCAGCCTGAACGTTTGAAACTTTGTACAACAGAGGTTAAGTTCATTAACCTGGTCCCAGCATGTAATTGGTGATTCTGATTTGAACGGGTGGTTGTGCTGGATCTTTGATCCCGGGCGAGTGACGCATGTCTGCGGTGTACAGCCTCGGCCGTATGAAAGGAGACACCTAATCATGGTCATCCAGTTACGACTATCCAGTCAACATTCGTCAAGTCACATATTGTAGTGACCAAATCCGAATCCCTCCTCTGGTGGCCCAAACCAGGTAAAACTATCGAGCATATGCTGCCACAGATGAACGTCAAAATCATCCATCGATTGGGACTCGCCATTCATGGAAGCAACAATGTCAGGGGTGTATGCCTGGGGCCAACCAGGCTGATGGGTTGCATTTGGCCCCAGGAATTGCGAAGATTGAGATATAGAGTCACTATTGTCGCATACAGTATGCACGTCTGCTGACGCGGATCCCGGCCGTGCTTCGGTATTAGACTTTTCTAGCCATGCCAACAAGGTGGAGATCGCTCTAATGGAGCTTTTCCAGAAACCGTCTTCTTCGAGGGAGATATCCTTGAACTTTTGGATTATCGCGGCGCCTTTGTCCTGGATATGCTTCTTATTCACCCCAGTGACTTGTTGTTTATTGGGATGAAAAAGTAAACTCAGTTTGGACAGGACTAGTAAACTGAACCAAATGGTGCTGTAGGTAGCGGAAGAAAAGTGGAGGGTGGCTGATGCAGGGGCTTCTAGATATGTGTCGACAACATAATGTGCGGAATCTATGAGGGGCTGGAGTTGGTGCATCTCTCGTAGTTTGAAGACATACTTTTGCCTTCCCAACGCCTGGCCAAGTATCAGTGCTGGTGATCCTCCTAGCTCGATGCGCAACGGCCCTGTTGTATTGGCATTAGTACTGGCAAATCCCATGAGATATTGGCAGCTTACAGTCCTGGTCATGGAGTGATGACAGCAGACCTTGCATCTGCACTTGTTGCGACGTGATTCCAAGAATTTGTTCCCAGTTATCTGATGAGGGCCGGAGACCCCGCCGCTCCTCATCAAACAATAACTGGCTTTGGCGCACCAGTGACTGAACATCGATATAATCTTTGAGCGCCGTGTCCGTTGGATATTCCTGCCTCTCTGCCAGCGCATTGGCGCAGTCATTAATCCACTGCGAATGTCGCATGTATATTTGCCGGCGAAATAAAGACGATCTTGACAGAGTCAGTCAAAGCCATGGCAGGCTAGACCATGACTTAAATACATACTTAGAGCAGAGGTAGTAGCATCCCAACAAAGCACGCTGCTGGGCGGCAGTCTGAGAGGTTGATTCCTTCGTCCCATATGCATTGTCAGGTTCCTTCCCTTCAGCTGGGATCGTCTGCATCCTGAAACTCTCCTGCTTGTCGAGGCCAAGGTCCGCAGTCATCATTAATGTCATCTGGAGTAGCATATACATATGCGTGTGGTACGTCTTCCAATGGTACTGGTGCCATGCGCCATGCACGAGCAGACCCTGTAAGAGGTCCATATTCCGCTCTACACCCACCACGATGCGATTTGCGATTTCCTTCCGAACAACAAGCTCCAATTCCTCCTGTAGTTTGGGATTATGCTCGAGAGATGCAGTCAAAATACACAAAAGGAGAAATGGTGACTGCTCGCGAACCGTGGCTGCGTCTGCGTCGGAAGGGATGACTACAAAGGGGAAATATGGCACCTTCTGCGCCCGGTATTTTGATAGAAGCTCACCGGCTAGCTTGGGATCAATGAGTCCGTAGAACTTCGGACTCTTTGCTTTATCGCTTATGCTGGGACGCCGGGAGCTGACTCGCTCTGTTGTTGGGTTTCCGCGCAGCTCGGCAGGGAACACACACGATGGGTGGCCAAGTCGTGTACAGCGCTGGCAAGCGCTTGAGCCGGTAGGGACGCATTTGACTTTCAGACGAACACATCTAGCACAAGCATAACGTCTGGGCGGTTGTCGTCGATACATAGCTTTCTGGTCGAGGTGTGAAAGATAACGAGTGAGAGAAGCAAAGACGGAGACAAAGCCGGAATCGGAATCGGAGTCGGAGTCGGAGTTAACCCTGAAGTCCAATCAATCCCTTCTCTGGCCTGGAGATTGTCTACCAATACGTTGCGGGCAAATAAGAGATTTGGTCTTTAATTTTACGAATTTTTACTGCAGCCTTCATTTGTTGTGGGGGTTCCAGTATATAGCTGCTCGAGGAGCACCTAGAGTTCTTAGGGTTACATATCCGGTGCGGCCCGTTCGAACATCCTGTAAAGCGTAGATTCAGCAAAAAGCGGACTGCTTTTAAATGCGTTGAACCCAAAATTCATCTGAGGACTGACTAGTGGCCTCTCAAGCAAAAGGCAATTGCTATCTAAATTTTCAATGCTTGGTAGTGCTAATTGATGGGCGAGCTTTGTTATAAATATTGTAGAAACAGCGATAATAAAGGGATATCATTTCAGGTGCTCTCAAGTTGTGGCCCGGCCCATTACAATCATGTACAAGGTGTAAGTGGATAGTTAATAAAGTATCGATTTAATATGCTATTATGACATTTGCTAATATAATATAAACCAGAATACAAGTAGTGTGGTGTATAGGAAGGTGGAGTCCTCAGCAACTAGCTGCGACAGGGCTGTATCTAGATAGAGAGATACGGATGCAACAGGGCCTGCAATTCAAGAGTTAATTTCAAACGCCACGCTATGGGTAACCTGATATATAAAACTTACATCCGCGGCGGAAAGGCGTTGGCCACTTTCATAAGTGACCAATTTACTGACAAGGTCTCGTCCGTTGGAAGACGATCCTTGAAGGATCTGATCCCATCCCTTGGCTGGGTACTTGTAGAATTCGATTTTGCCCCAGTCTGGAAGTTTCTCAGTCTCCTAGGAAGCTGTCAGGATGCATCGGCAATAAATAGGAGAGTTTGTATGTTTTACTTACCGGCCAGGTTTGTTCATCTGGGGTGCCCAAGGTGGTGAAGATAGACTGAATAAGGGACAGATCACTTCCAACAGGGCCAGCATCGAACAATTGTTTGTGCCCAACAGCCACTGCCTCTGCAACAACACATCCGGCGGCCCAAAGGTCAAGAGCTATCCCGTACCCTTTAAACCCAAATAATATCTCCGGCGGTCGATAACATGTGGTACCCACATCAGTGATCTTCTTGTCTGCGGGCTCAGCTTCTATGCTTCCTTCTCGCCAGGCTATCCCAAAGTCCGCCAGATAGGCAGGGCCGCTGGGGGAACTAAGGAGAATGTTTGCCGGTTTAATATCTCGGTGTATAATTCCTAGTTTATGAATAGACGCCAGTGCGCTGAACATATCGCGCAGGATGGATCTAGTGTTTGCGGCTGTTAAAGCGCCTCGGCGAAGTAACGTCTCGAGATCATGTCGTTCGAGGGGGAACACGAGAATAAATCGGCCACCGTCGAGCTTGAATGTCTCCAAAAGAGGTATTATATGCTCGCCAACTGCCTCGCGCAAGAGCTGAGCCTCACGATGAGCATTATGTGGTGGCTCTAGTAGATGTGGCGTCGTGACTTTCAGCGCAACGAGGGCACCATCCTTTGATTTGGATTTATATATCGTCGAGTGAAGACCATCAAAATAATGAAGACATTTTTGATACTGGCCTATTGTCTGACCAGGCTCTTGGTCCGAGGCGGTCGTGTCATCATCTAGGTCGCCCTTAGATGGTTCAGATCCGGTGGCTTCTGCCGCATCAACCGCTTTTTGGCAGAATTGATCATATTCTTCCTACACACGCTTAGAGTCACACAGGAGAACAAAGCAGTTTAATGTTGACGGACCTTCGAGGTGGCTTGTTCATATGCCTCGCCCTCGAGTTTTCTTGCCTGTGTTTGTGCTTCGGCGAATGCAGCCGAAGATGAGGCTTGTTGGTAAGCAGTCGTCCTAGTCGCAGATGTCAGCCTGAAATACTGTCGCTTTTCCTTGAAGACTTACAGTGATTGGATGGTTCTGAGTCGATCTGTGAAGCCAAGACTCTTTTTCCAGTCCATGGCTGGGGTGAGAATATTATAGGAGCAGTACACAAGTGGGCGGGGAACGCTGCCTCGAGGTACCCGATTAGGTTAGCAAATATACCAATTGCTTTAGGATTAGCGTCGCTCAGGAAAGGAACTCGACATGGACCCCTGCTTAGTCATTTGTCCCCGTACTGAGTCGAACTGCATCGTCATCACCGTTGCTTCCGTCGACCTCCAACAGCGGATACATCAGCCTTGTCGGCCCACTTCTGCTATCTCGCTCGCCGCAATAGCTCTACACTCGCTTCCTCTACTGGCTCCCTATTATGTGCCTCGCCGGCGGCTGCTGATCCCCCTGTGTCCTGCGAGAAGCAATGGATCTCTCCCGACAGGAGTATCCAGCCTTGCTGGTATGACCAACCCCCCCAGTTTCCCGGGCCCCTCCGCGTCTCCCAACTCCAGTCCTGCCAATTGCTCTGGTCTTATAATATTTACTTACTCTTTTCTTTAGGGCTCTTTACAGCCCAGCCAGGCCGCGTCTGTACTCGCTGATCGCATTCGCGTTATCAACAAGGTCAATGCGGATATCGCAGATTGGCTGCAGGTAAGTCCCTTGGTGTCGTGTGTCACCAATTGAGATAACGTCGGTCTAACTTTCAATGTTTTACTGATAGGAACGTCGCCGCGTCGAAGAAGCCTATGCGCAAGGGCTACGGAAGCTCTCACATCGACCCCAAGTGGACAATGCAGCTGCCTTGGGGTAAGACTGACTATTCCTGCTTGTGTTCTCTTTCCCCGGAAACACCAGTTGCATACCATAAGAAATAGTGAGGCTGATTACGGTTGTTTAACCCCACAGTATTTTCCAAATACCATGGCAGCGCATCGTCAATTCAGTCGAAACCGTAGCTGTCTCGCACGAAACTTTCGCCCAAAAGATCGACGAGGATGTTGAGCGCCCATTGAGGGAATACAGTACTAAGAATAAGGAGCTCGCGTCGATGCCTGGAGTTCAAAGCGATCTTACAGCTTTAGCAAAGAACTTCGAAAACTCGCAGAAAAAAGTGGAAAAGGCTAAGGAAAAGGGCCCCAAAGGCGCCGACAGATTAGCCACTGCCGTAAGCGCCTCCCACGAGGTAAGCCAGCAATGGGAATCGAGGGCGCCATATGTTTTCGAGCAGCTCCAGGCAGCGGATGAAGGTCGACTCAACCACCTTCGAGATGTTTTAACTCAGCTTGAAACGCACGAATCTGATCAGGTTGAGCGCTGCCGACAGGCAGCAGAAAGTTGCTTGAACGTTCTACTCAATGTGGAAACCGCGGATGAAATCAAAACATTTGCTGCAAAAATAAATGGGGGGCGACCAGTTGCGCCAATTGCGCCACCTCGACAGCAACAAGCATCTCCTATTCCGGCAACGTCATCTACCCCGGAGCCGCCTCTTCCACCCCCACCCCGCATCCAGGACGATGCCGCTAGCCATCGCTCTACGGGCTCGGGTCGCGCCAAACCACCGCCACCGCCTGGTAAGTTCCTATAGATCATTTCCCATGTTTTTCTTCGTGCAAAGCGAACTATACTAACTACCACCTTAGTTCCTGAACCCCGACATGGCACAGCCTTTGGTGGACTTAGACGGCTAGGCACGGTCATGAATCGAAGGAAAAGTGTTGCTCTCCCGTCCGGCGGTCCTTCAGAGAAAAAATACCGCAGTCCATTCTCTTTCAAACGGGGAGAGAGCCGAGAAATGCAAATTCCCGAAGACCATCGACCTGAGCGACCAGACACCGCTGTCACCTCGCAAGGGAGCTACATTGAGGCTACACGTCTTCCAAGCGAGTCCAATGATAGGGAAGGTCGTGACGGTTTATCACCTAGCCCACCACCCCAATCTTCACCTGAAGCTGTCAATGGGTTTGGATCCCAGCAGATCTCCCCTCCAGCAGCTTTCACTGGAATGAGCGGAAATGAGGTAGGTTGCTCCAATGGCAGTTTTCAAAGTTTAAATGTCTAATTCCTTATCTTAGCCACGTGTGGACTCTGAGGGTTATTCTCAACGACCGCAGACTATTGATGAGATCACACAGGCTCAGCGAGAGGCATCTGGGTAAGTTCAGCTGAACTATAGATGCCGGAAAAAAAAATAAAAGACAGTGTTGTTAATGAATGTACAGACTAGAGGAACCTGGCCTGAACCTCACAATTAGAGAACAACCAATTCCTGAAGACGAAAACCAAGCCAAGCGAGCAATGGACGACATGGCTAATCAGCTGAGGCTGGTAAGTGTATTCGAGATTCGCTTGCTGTTTGGTCGTTAACCCTTATATAGCAAGCACAACACAGCGGGATAAGGCGAAACGCGGGGACCATACGTGGACGACGCGATGTTCGCAATACTGTCTTTGTCCCTAACACACCGCCACAAATGAATACTGTTCCTGGCCTGGGTGCAACTCAGGATGCCTCCGAGCCTACGTCTCCAGCATCTCCAGGAAAGCATGTGGCTTCGCTTAGCAACGCTACGGACGAGCATGCGATGTCAGACACAACTTCAATACGCTCATCACACACTCTACACAGCATTTCAGGCCCAGTTGCACACCCCGAACTACATGATCCTGGGTTGAATGCATCCATAATAGAGACAGTGAGCGCTTGGTTCTCGGAAGGCTCTGTGACCAAATCATTTGTTGTGGGCGAACTTGCTCTGGCGTTCAATACTTCCCCGGAAGCCTTATCGGAGAATATTCGAGTGCGTCTCAACAACTTCCAGGTTTTGGAGAAGGTGGCCGCAAACCCGAATTTCATCCATGAGGTAAAGGATCAGGAGCAGTCAGATGACAAGAGGGGCGAGTACGACATTGCGCTTGCCAACATCTCACGTCCGACCCCGACAGTTGCGTTCAAGTATCAAGTCCACATCAACCCAGAAGATACATCGGCCTTCTGTCCGGTCATTTTCAAACCCGCCTGGAACCTGGAAGAATTTCAAGCTAGTGTGATCATCTTCTATTCCCTGAATCCCGCGTTCGCATCCTCTGTGTCGCGACAATCTATCACGCTCACGAACTTGGTTCTTACCGTCAATTTGGACACCTCTCCACAGGAAGACCGAGAGGTTGCTCACGCTACCAACGCTGTCATGTATCCTAACACTGGGGCGGCCTTCCGCCGTAAGCAGTCTGCAGTGATTTGGAAAATCCCTGAATTTGAGGTAAACAGTGGATCCGATGGCAAGTTACTAGTTCGCTTTTCAACAACAAATAGCTGGCCGCAGAAAGGAAAGGTTGAGGCGAAGTTCGAAGTTCGCACGCCTGATGCCGGATCGCGCCTCGGGATCACTGCAGCTTCTAGGCCTGGAGGGCCCGACCCATTTGCCGACGAGGACATTACCCCAGTTTCATGGAACGATATTCCGACGACGCGGAAGCTGGCTGTCGGGAAGTACGTTTCTTCCTAGGCCATGACATCCAGGTCGAATCTTAGTTCTCTGTGCCGGTTTTCTTTAAGCGGATCAGACTCGACGGCCGGTTGATGAATTGTATCAAGAACACCGCAAATGATCATTAGCTCGTTTTTTGTCTACGTACCGGCACGATGGTTTCGTTGGTGATGTCGGCCTATGTACACATATTGCGATTTTCGCAGTACATATAAAACCAGTTCTTGTACGAACACTTTAAATGCCCCTGCACTGAGCCCTTTCTCTCGCTTGCTTTCTCTTCTGTTCTCACCGCATCACCTTCATATATTGTCTACTCTGATGCACTGCCCATTCATATTCATCTACGACCCATAGCATCTCCTTGATCTGTTTCTGTTGTCCTTCTTGGTTTTGTCTATAATATTTTTTGTGTTTTTCTGGCAGCATACAGTAAGTTTTGTGGATAATGAATGGTCTGTAAATAGCCTGTTGTGGTGCATTGCCCTTGGCATTATTGTCCTGTGCAGTATATCCCTGTACCCCATTATATTTAGTCCCAATGTTACCTCCCTAAAGTATGCCGTTCAACGAGAACAGTTGCTTCCGCTTGTTACTGATAGTAGTTTTGCGTTCATAGTGAAAGTATTTTATTGAGCATAAAGTACTTCGAATAAAACAGGCTTCATATGCCGGGATATCATTTCGAAAACCAAAGTAGATCATCAGTAGCCTAACCAGTACAGAATTACATATTGACAAAAGAGAAGTACAAGCATAGTATATAAATTGAGAGGGAACAAAAGAGATTAAATCCTCGCAGCCCTCGTCGTCTTATCGTAGAAATCCAATGTCATCGCAGCGAGGAAACAGGGTATATCCTTCCTCTCCTCGACCCAGAACTTAATTAAATGTTTAATCTCCATTGCGAAAAGACTGTTGGGTCCGCCAGAGATCTTCATAGTGCCGTTTTCTCCGTCAAAGATGATGGAGTTTTCCTCACCGTTGCCCATGCTTCCTGGCCCTCGGGCATCTGGGTCGGCATTGCTGTCGCCGTGTCTGTAGGCGGAGGAGAGGTGGAACATAGATGTAACACGGACTCGGCCATTCGGGAGAAAGTCTAGTTTGAATCCCAGTAAGGAGGCGACGGCCTCACGGAACTCGGAGGATTTAGCGGTCCAGATTTCTTTGAGGCGGCGCATGCGCTTTTCCTTGTCTGCGACTACGCGCTCCATGTCTTGGACCTCAATCTTCATGCTTTCCAGGGTGGTGATGGGGACGAATTTCACGTCCTGGTTACGACCGTGGAGTTGAGCGATAAGGTCCCGGTTTTCGTTCTTAAGGGTGGTGATGGTTGAGAGTTTGAGGTTCTCAGCCTGGGCAGTAGGGTTATCTCGGAGCTCAAGAACGCGAGTTCGTGATTTTGCTTTAAGAGATCTGAGTTGAGATTTGGTGGCATCGAATTCCTTTCGTAAGAGTGCCATGCCCTGCTCGGATTTGGAAAGAGACTCTTGCAACTTTCTATTCTTTCGAGTTAAAACAGAAACGCGCTCGGTTTCTGCATCACTTTCTGCAGGTGAAAGAGGACGTTTCATTCCCCTAGGCTGCGTACTGTCTTGCTGAGAAGTTTCACGCCTGGATAGCTCTTCGTGAGCGTTGGCTAGTTCCTGGCGATATTCGTCAATCATCTTCTCGAGATGGGCGATTTGTTCGGCCTTCTGTGCATCAAACTGGCCCTGCTCTGCGTTCATTGTTTCTTCCTCGGTGTCAAATGTTTTCAGCTGGGCGCGGAGATATTCCACCTCCTTCTGCGCAAGTGCTCGCTGTCGCTCAAGTCGGGCTTTGACACGGCTGTCCACCATGGATCCCCCGGTTGCTGTTCCAGCAGCACGAAGCTTCTCCACCTCTTGTTTTAAGTTGGATCGTTCAGTTTCCAGGCTTCTGATTAATTCATCTTTCTCTAGAAACTGTGCTTCCACGCTTCCGAGCTTGTCAATTGCACTAGCTTTTTCGAGCTGCTCCTTCAACAACGCCTTTACGACGGCCTCCGGTGAGTCATATTCCGGGGACTGATCGTTATCTTGTAACAGGCTAGACCATGACTGCCGCTCGTCTTCGAGTACTTGTTTCTGGATCTGAAGGGTCCCGAGTTCAGCCTCAACGCCTTTCATGAGCTGTAGCTGGTTCTCCAATGACTTCTTTTGCTCTTCAACCACTTCAACATTCCGTTGTACCTTTCGTAGGTGGCGCAGCTCTGCGCTTTGCTCTCTGTTTGTAGTTTCCAAATTTCTGATATGGTTGACTTGATCAGAAAGCTCCCTCTTCAATACAACTAGTGATTCTGCATCACTTCCATCTGCCTTCAGTCGAATATTCTCCGCTTCCAGATCGGCGATCTCTGCTTCGCGCTCACGAAGCCTATCTTGTGCTGTTTGTGCCTCGCCCTTTGTAGTTTCAAAGTCTCGATGTAGCTCCTCCAGTGTTTTCTGTAGTGATGACCGAATTGTTTCTAATTCATTGATTTGGTACTTTGACTGTCTTTCCTGGTCGAGTGACTGTTGTTGGTTGTCTGCGATTTCCTCCTTTAAAGACTGGTGCTGATCCTGAAGACTGCGAACCTTCCGTTCGAGGTCGACTTTCGCGTTGAGCCCATCTTCTTGTGCTTCTCTCAACTCTTTCGCGAGGGATTCGGCTTTGTGATTGGCGCGGCTGGTAGCAGATTCGGCGGTCTGAAGAGATATGTTAAAAACGGAAGTCAAGAATTGGCAAACCATCAAATTGACTCACTTGCGCTTTTCGGAAATCCGCGTCTGCTCTTGATTGGAGTTCTCGGAGCTCTTTTTCGTGGCGGAGAACCATCAATTCACGTTCCTGTTTTGAATTCTCCAACTCATATTTCAGAGTATTGACCTGCACTCGTAATTCGTCTCTCTCTGGGTCTATACAATCCTATCAACTCGGCCCAACGCGCCATTAACAAGATAATGTTTACGTACCAGGTTTCGTAGGACCAGAGGAACGGAAGGGCTGTCGCAAAACGCTCGGCGCCGGTGGTATAGACAAGGGCGATGTGTCTCTAATGGGTGATCCCATCGAAGGGTTTGGGCTTCCCTGCGAATTCATCTGAGAGAGGTTAGCCTCCCAACCGTAAAGACCGAGCCCTGCGGTTGATATAACATACAGCTGCGAATTGAGAGCCAGCGAGTTGCGCAGCAATCCGGCGACTCTGCTAATCATAAATATCCGCGGAACATTTGAGAGTGACGAAAATTTCCGAGCGATTTCAAAAAGCCGACAACAGTTTCAGGCGACAAACAACGAGGCATCGCATGAGTGAATGAGCAACTTCATTGTTTGGACAAAGACTCCGGTTTAGTACGCGTTGAGTCATCAATCCACCGCCCGCAAGAGCTTGCATTCCCAAACTAGACTAGCGCCAAAATTTTGAAATAATTTCGAATTTTGTTCTTCGGAGACCGGACGGTTCCTTTCCCCAACGACTACGTCCTCTTGCGCCAACTCCATTCACCTCTCCAGATTTACGATTCGGCTTATCGGGCGCCAAAAATAGTGACAATGGCAAAGGACAAGTCTGAGAAGAAGGACAAGCTCGAGAAGAAGGAGAAGAGATCGGAGAAGGACGGTGTTCACAAGAGCAAGAAGGACAAGAAGGAAAAGAAGGACAAGACTGCCCTTGCCGATGCAGTATTGAAGGAGATTGAATCGGAGTCTCCCTCCACGGCTCCCGCCAACGGCGTCGTTTCTACGGACGATGTTGAAGCTCGCCCCGTGGGTGCTCTCGTGCCTTTCGCAAGACCATTACTAGAAGAGAAGGCGGCCAAGAAGGCCCTCAAGAGTGTGAAAAAGGGTAAGCTTTCTACTCCTAATGCATTGCCTTACTTGATTCCCTGTCTCAAAAGTTTCGGTTGCTACGAATCTACCACAACCGCCAATCGTACCCTGAACTTGCAATGTGCTAAACTTTAGCTCTCATAGCTGCCGTCAACAAATGTCTCAAGCGAGGTGTCAAGGAAGTTGTCAAGGCCCTTAGAAAGTCGCCTATTCCCGCACCTAACGAAACCGTCTCTATTCCCAACGGAGTCGTGATCCTCGCCGCAGATATCTCACCAATGGACGTCATCTCACACATTCCCGTTCTCTGCGAGGACCATGGAATCCCATACATCTTCGTCACATCCCGAGCGGAACTCGGTAACGCTGCTGCGACGAAGCGCCCCACGAGTGTTACGATGGTTGTACCCAAGTCTGCGGCAAAGGGCAAGAAGAAGGATGCCGATGAGGACGATGAGGATTTCAGCAAGGTGTTCGAAGAGCTGGCTAAGCTCGCCCAGAAGGAGCTCACGCAGGTGAACCTATAAACGTCAGCTGGATGTCTGACTTGAACCACCTTTCCCATTTCTTCATTCCGCTATTCTTAATTATACGGCTTATTGATGCGTCTTGCCAATTTCCACAACTGTACAGTTCCGTTTTGTTTGACAAGACAGCGCATGTCTTTGGGGTCTGGCCTTTGGACGTGTTATCTGGGTTGATCATTTATGACTATTGCAAAATCCGGCGTTCTTAATTGGTGTACGAAAAGGCAGGAAGTTTAAAATGACACGGCATGATGCTGATTATGGATTCCTATCGTAGACTGACAATCGATTATGTGGATTGCCCCCATTGTTTATGGTCACGCTGTAGAGAAAGCAAAGCGGATCATACTTACCCACGACTAAAAACGTTCCAATTTTACACCAGGATATTACTAGGTAGGTACTATTCCTGGAACCGGAGAAGATCCAACTGTTTTGATTCATATCATTTCATCTAATTTACATAGCGTGGTTCGTCAAGAACAATTACTTATTCAGACATCAAATCAAGCACGCTGGTCGTTACTCAAAGGCTCATACCAAGTCCGATCACCGGTATGCTTCTGAGCCGGCGCAGCAGCACCAGCAACAGTCTCAGCCTCCCGACGCTGGAACTTCAGCTCGGCCAAGCGGCCTGGGTCCTGATCAGAACCAATCTCAGAGTTGAAGCTAGCGTTGTACTTGGGGTCGTCGGGGAATTCACTACCCTGGCCAGCAGCGGCAGATGAGTAGCCCTGCTGCTGCTTCGCAGCAGTCGCGCTTCGAGTCTGATATCCACTTCCGCTAGCGGGAGCCTGGGACCTAGACTGAGACTGGGACTCGCTGAGCTTCTCAGAAGCTGGGTATTCGTGCTTGTTGATTCCTAGTTCCTTCTTTGCGGCTGTTGGTCCGCCAACGTAGCCAGATCCGTGGGCGCCAGGGTAATCGGCCTGGCCGCCGAGGGCTTCGGGGTACTTCTGCTGGCCGTGATTTTCAGCACGGTCTCGCGCATCGGCTGCTGAGGGGAGTTTTGTGGCTGCGGATGTGTCGGTGGTGTTTGTTGTAGTGTTTTGGCTGGTTGCACCCAAGGGTGCGGCACCGCGGTTCTCGTTAAATGCGCCGCCACCGCTGACGGATTCGGCAGCGAGAGAGTCCTTAAGAACAGGTCCGGAAGGTTCGTTGATTGGGACGTCAGACCTGGGGTCATTGGTGACCTTGACGCCTCTCTGGCCAGAAGGGATAGGGTTTCCTTGGAGATCCATTGTGATATATGCGTGTTTTGCGTTTGCTCTCACGTGGAAAAAGGAGAAATATGAGGTATAATATTATGACTCGAGAGATTTGTTTAGAATTTGATACTAATTAGTAGATTAGGCTTGCGATGGGAGGGCTATATAGCACTGCTCGCTTGATCAGTACACCATTGTGATGTCATCCTGACGGGCGGACTAGGGCTATTCATGGTCAACGAACCCCAGGTACGTCAATGATGAATGACCCTGGTAGAGCCTTCGAGACCGCTCCAACTATAGGTAGTGACGCATTCTGGCCAGAAAATCGCCCAAATACCTGTGGGTATTGATTGATGCTGAATGGAAGGCCTTTGATGCAATGTTGGGGCGCTATGAGCATATTTGACGTCACATTGCAATACTCAACAAACCAAAGCCCGATTTACTAAGAGGCTTATTGAACAGGGGCATGGGATTAATTCCAGGTTAAAAATACTATAGATCATGTTGTTTGTCACTGTGGCAGTATATACTTCTTGCGGCGGGTGCCGACACATCTAAGTATACTTACCTGGCATTTGAGTGCAACCAGGGGAAATAGCACTAGTTTCACTGGATAACTATTACAAGTCTTCAATAATAAATTCAAACGAAGCTTGAATCATGTCTATTACAAAGACATCGTCAACCTTGACTCTCTCCAAGTGGGAAATATGAAACATTATGTAGTTGGCTATGCTTAGACTTAAACAGAGGGTACACATCACCACGAAATATGAGCTGGTTTACGATGGTTTACGAAAAAAGCGTAATGCGAGTATGGCTGAATCGTATCACATTGCAATGTTACATGTTTCAATTATATGGATTACCGGGCACGAGCATCCTTGGGGAAGTCCCCTCGCCCAACCTGGTCTGTTGGCTCTGTAAGTCGGTGTGTCTCTGATCCAACTTCACGGGCACTGCTTGATGCTGTGGCAGGACCTCGCAGGGCAGTATCCTGGTCTCCAGAGATCGGGCCCTCAACGCCTCCCGAACCGACGTTGACAGCGCGCTGATCGGCAGAGTTCCAATCACTAGCGGTTGGAGGCTGTTCTGGCAGAGGCAGATTGGACTTGGTGTTCTCAATCTTTGACTGCATCACCATCAGCGTGGATTCAAGGTGGCCAAGTACAGGTAAACTCATACCTTCACGTTGCTCTCGGACATATTGGTGGCAATGAGACGATTCGTTCGAATATGATATGGTATGTAAGGAGGATAAGTAATTTGGATTCGTTTCAGTAGAAGTCGTTACTGTACTTAAGATGAGGATTGGATATGAAGTCGTCGACTCAATCTTATATGGTGAGAACATGTCTGACATCCAATGACTTGAATCACGATGACGTTATGGTGGTCTAAAGAACCATGTCGCGGACAAGGCAGTGGTGGAACCTGGCACCCAACATACGTAAATCATTCGAAGAGAAGGGAATATTCTCTACCGTAAATCACTTTGATGTAATGGCTGCAAGCAGGCGCACTCCAGGGCGACGTTCCAGAAGCCTGTCAGAATACGTCATGCAGCGTAACTACACTAGTAGCTTCGGAACTTTATGGTTTATCACCATTATTGGTTAGGCCTCGTGTGAAGTTACCAAATCGGTGCTGTAGTCCTAGAATAGTTGCCTTGCACCTATCATCTCTATCATGGTTTATGTCTCAAGCTCATCGTAGCACAGCACTAGGGAGGTATACCGCGCGAATTGACTCGCGTATGGATGGCGTGAAGTATAGTGTTGCGAATGAATTGTTATGTCTTGATAGAGAATGAAACGAATGTAATCGCCTAAAAGCGATATGTTCTCTTCATTCCGATGAATAGCTTTCAAGTCTCGGGGACCAGAAGCAACCACTTAAGTGTAGACGGTTAAGCTTCCGCATCGCAAGAAGATACAATTCTACACCGCCTTCAAATCTGATGCGGCAGAATTTTAACTATTCCCCGCTGCACAATTTCTTGTTGTACCTGACTCAGACGGGTTTCTACTGTTACTTTGGCATTTTTTCTTACTGTGACGCTTTAAATCGCCCTATAATTTGCCATAATGCCTAGGGATCCACTGGTTGGTCTGGTTGGGAAGGTCTGTTTGTTCCCCGCCCTATCTTCCAGAAGCCATCCCCGCTAATCGAGCTGAGGGCTATAGCCATCCTCTGGAAAGTCGACAACATTGAATAGCTTGACGGATGCTTCCTCGAAAGTCGGTATGTTGCTATTACGCTTTGGATTTAATTATATTCCTCCATTAATTGGATTCCTATTCAATAGGAAACTTCCCGTGAGTACCGCTTGGCGATCGATTGCTCTTCCCTGCGCGGCGCATATGCGACAGCAGACATTCAGGCCTTTGCATCAAGCAGTTCTAATTCTCGGATGATAAGATTTACTACTATCGATCCGCAGCGCGCAATTGGCTATCTCCAAATCGACTGTGCCTGCCAGCGATTCGGCGTATCAGATAAATGCAAGCCAAACTATGGTGGCTGTTTTGAAGGGAAACGCTCCGTTCCGATTGAGCTTCTAGATGTTGCTGGTCTAGTCCCGGGGGCACACCAAGGACGCGGCTTGGGAAACAAGTTCTTGGATGATCTGCGTCAGGCAGACGCCTTGATCCACGTCGTGGATGTTAGTGGGACGACGGATGCAGAAGGTTCGGCTCCACGGAGCGCTAGCTCTGTATCGGTCGATTCGAAGTTGCTGATGAGTTGGTCTATTTAGGGAAGGCTACACGTGGTTATGATCCATCACAAGATATCGAATGGCTCAGGTCAGAAATCGTGCGGTGGGTGTTGGGAAATTTGATGCAAAAATGGTATGTGTCGCCTTAGCATTAAGCGCATGCAGGACTTAGTACTAATGTACTTAGGGGCTCTATTAAACGAAGACACGCATCGATAAGTGGGTGTCCAATGTTCTAGTAATATTCAGCCGGCTGACTTCGAAGCAGAGGCAACTGCCGTGGAGACGTTACAGAATCAATTCTCAGGGTACGGAAGCACGCCACAAACTGTTGCACGATGTCTGGACCGCTTAGAGTTGAAAGAACCACTTGAAGAGTGGTCAGATGAAACTGTGGAGAAGGTTGTACAAACCTTCATCGACGAGAAGTTTCCTACGGTGTTTGCTCTCAATAAAATTGATCACCCAGATGCGGATAAAGTGGGTTAATTCTTGGCCTATTCTCGTTATTTTGGATCAGCTCTAACCCAATTATCAAAAGAATATCAGCAAGATCGCGAAGATGCAGGATCCACGGAGCATTGTCCTCTGCTCTGCCATATCCGAGGTTTTTCTTCGAAGACTTGCCAAACAAAACTATATCAAATATCTAGAAGGAAGTGAATTCGTAGATACAAGAGATGACCTTATTGCGGATGGGGACCCGGATGGAGGAGACCTCAGGGAAATGGACGAGAAGTTGAAAACGTATGGTACCCGTTCCCCGTACCGAAGTCTCCACTAACGTGAAATCAGCCGAGTGGAAAACTTAAAGGACATGGTCCTCTATCGCTTTGGCTCAACTGGTGTCGTGCAATGTCTTTCACGGGCTGCTGAGATCCTTGGGCTTGTGCCGGTTTTCCCTGTGCGGAATCTACACACTTTCTCATCTGGAGCCGGTACTGCTGCATTCCGAGATTGCGTCCTGGTTAAAAAGTGAGTATCTTGGATTTTCCAAATCATTTCATTGCTGACTTCTGGACCAGAAATAGCACAGTGGGTGATGTTGCACGCAAAGTTATGGGTGATGTGCCTATAAATTATATAGAAGGCGTTGGAGGCGTCCGGGTGTCGGAGGATGATATCGTAGCAGTCGGGAAACACGATGTAAGTGCTTTGATTTCTCTGCTTTTAATCTAGTGACTAACCTTCGTTTCTCATCATAGGTACTCTCATTTAAACCTGGACGGTAGATATACGACTACTGTAATGATAATTGATTGATGCATCGATGCCTACTAGAGCTAGAAACACTATACCAAGGGACCATTTTCAAAAACGCCTCAATTCGACATTGTCATTTGAGCAGGTGCCAAATAGACTTTTCACCACATAAATTTGCTCAAGTACACAGGTATACACATGATTGAACGTTATGCGACTACGGACATTTGCTATTTGACCGCGGAGTTGGGCTCAATCACACCCCTTTCTGTAACAGCACAGTCAGAAGGTCGGTACATCAGTAACCGCACGGCATGGTACAAACTTACTCCTGCTCTCTCATCATTCATCCCAATAACAGGCTCGGGCGCCTTGGGATGATCCTTCTTGGCCTTCTTCGCATTCTTCCGCCCCCCGGTCTCTGTTGCTGCGCCAGACTGGCCACTATTCTCTGAGCCGAAATTCTGCTCTCTATCCTTCATTGCCCGACTAGCGCCTATTGTTTGCGGATCTGTCTTGTCATTTTCCTTTTTCACCCGATGAGTTGTGTGTTTTTCTCCTGAAGTGCCTTTCCAGTCCTTCGATACACTACTATTGGGGCGAGCCTGCACACCCGCAGTACGGAGGACAGGTAAAGGGCATATCGGCGAGAAGAGGGCCCGTGAGCCATAGGCATGGGTATTTGAAACTGAAGAAAGGATGCGAGCGTTGCGAGCTAAAGGCATATTGGTGAATAAACTAGGTAATATTGTTCCGGGGTTGGCTGTGAAAAACCAAGTAGATGTTACTTAAGTATGGCAATACTATCATGGCTTAATTTAAACTTCTTCACATCTGTTTTTAATTGAAATGTAGTTGGTCGGGTCAGCGTGACATCAACATGATGCGGTGCCTCCTGTCATTGTCCTGTAATGGACAGGATATATAGTATAGGGCTTAGGGCTGAGCTGTTATCGATAAGGAATCCTGGAGCTTGGATCCCGAGGCCCAGGTTGCAGGTGGCATCACCACAGCTCAAGCTTTCAGAGGAGCAATCTTTTATCGCCTACGCGGATGCAGAGTATATCAATTCTCAGTGGGATATATATGACATAATGAAGCGAGAGTCACTACCCATAGAAGCTCTAATACCCTTCGCGCGGCTCTATAACATCTCTCTTCGCGGGGTTACTTTCCGGAAGCTAAGAGCGGAAGATGGTACAGACAAGGGCGGCGCGATTATTGCAACAGAAGACAAACCCTTTGGGAGCAACGAATCATCACAAAATGACGTCCTTGTCAAAGTACCATCTGATATGATTCTTTCGCTCGAGATGGTTCAAGAGCGGTCAAAATATGATCAACATCTGCGTGAGGTGCTGGAAGCTGTTGGGGATTTCGGCAAGGTACGTCAGCTTTCTTCTCTGTATCTACACCTACTGGTCCAGAATTTATGGACAAAGCTTAGAGCTTGCGGCTGATATGTGTAGACGGCTAGAGGTGCTATATTGCTCTTCCTACTGATCCAAATTTCACATTCATCTCCAGACCTGGAGGAACATAGAATCGGTGCGTCTAGTGCCTGGTCGGAATACGTAAAATTTCTGCCTTCGTTCCTACCGCTGCCAACATTCTGGACGATGGAAGAACTGGAGTTGTTGCGAGGGACGTCCTTAAGGATGGCTTACGAAGCAAAGGTCCTCTCCTTGGAGAAAGAATTTGACCACCTTCGCGACAGCACAGAGAACATTGAATGGTGTCGAGACCTCTGGTGGGACAACGATACTGTCACAGCTGAAGACTGGAAATATCTCGATGCAGCATTTCGGTCACGTATGGTAGACCTGCCCGAATATGGACATGCAATGGTTCCATGCATTGATATGGCCAACCATGCAGCGGAATCTACAGTAAACGCGCTGTATGAAAAGGACGGTGATGGGAACGCTATACTCCAGCTACGCTCGGGGAAGGAATTGCGCCTGGATGAAGAGGTCACTATCTCGTAAGTTCTCGCTACACCGATCTAAACCGCTTGAAGAGATGCAGCTAATCATGGCGGGCATGAAGGTATGGCCAGGATAAAGCGGCATCGGAGATGGTTTTCTCATACGGTTTCCTGGACTCAGATAGAGATGAGGCGAAGCAAATATTCTTAGACTTGGATATTCCTGATGACGATCCCTTGAGAATGGCTAAAATGGCCTTTTGCAAAGAGTTGCCGGGGTTGCGCATCTTTTCGAAGCCCCTGGTTTCGGGGGAGGCCGAAACAGATTGGGAGAGTCCGATAGTGTGGTGGGCCTGTGTCAATGAAGAGGACGGACTTGATTTTGCTGTTTTGCAGAATAACGACGGTTCGAAAGAACTGACAATGACATGGAAGGCTCAGGAGGTGAGAACTCCTGATCATCTTCAGGATCTTCTAGCGGCAGACCCGGCATGGGATATCTTCCAACTTCGTGCAGTCGTACTCGTCCTCGAGCGGATAGAAACCCAGTTCTTCATGCTGCAGACAACAGAGCGGATGGTTTCAGATATACGACAGAGTGAGGACATGCTTTCTATTTTCCGGCCCGATGTGTTCAATACTGTCACCAAATTACGTGAATTGGAGGGGAAGTTATTGGTGTCAGCAATCAAGGATTTGGAGAAAAAGGTGTGTACTTCATCTGTATTTTACCCACTGGGTACTAACCCTGGCTATCCTCTAGAGAGATGCTTTGATGACGAGTGAATCGGTTAGCAAATATCTTGCTCAACAACAGCAACTTGTGGAAATTGAAGACGACTTTTCATAGTCTGGTTCGTCTCCACGTCATGAGGCTTCTGATATAAATTGCCGCCGACTTAATGCAAACATAGTTATGAATTTATGGACTCATAACAACTGAGTTAGTATTTCTTTCTTCCGGGACCCTAACGGCGTTAATATGCCTGAACGTCGGGGGCCCACGGATCAACTTATGACGTGGTGATCTTCGCATGCCAGTTATTCCTCGACTCTGTATCATTATTATAGGTTGGATGTCTCATGCAAACTCTCATCACAACTCACAAGGGTTCATTATTCTGATTAAGCCCTCCTGAAGGCTGGAACAAATTTGGAGCCGTCAGCGAGTCAGCGGCTTAGCACAGCACGTAGTGCAGCGGAGAAATCCGGGGAACCAGACCAACGGAACTCAGGGGATCTCGAATCCACAGCCTTGTCTGATCCAGAAGGCTGACACGGGTAACTCTCGGATTTCCCTCTGCTGTAGCTTGGGGAAGCAGATATTGTGGGGAATTCGATGACCATCCGGACCGCGAACTCGAACCCTTCCCAAGGTTGAAGAAGTGCAATTTTAAGACGATCGATCACTTGTCTATGGTTGGCGGGATAGACATCCACGACTCCATCTAGCCGCTCAATCCGGAGCCCAACACCCCACAACTGCAGTTTCTCGGCCAAGACTCGGGGATTTCATGGAAGGAGGTTACCAATTCGGGTATGACGAGGACCGCCCGGGCAGTATGGCTGCGATCAATACACAGCAATGACAACACCCTTTTCCATCCCTTGAATAACTATGGCTTGATTTTTTGTGGCGCCGTGCCTTGATCCTGCATAATTCCAGTCGGTCTCGATCGGATCACGCAAGCGAGATTGGATCCCCCCGCGCTTCTACTCCAGAGTCCTCCAGATGCGAACGACCGGGGGAGGCCAGTGGCAAGTCCAGCATTAGTATTCCCTGCTGCAATATAGACATAGGATGCGAAGAGCAGCATACGCCGTTATCTAACGATGGTTCAACCTTGATTAATGCTCATACCGGGGGAAAGGAAACTAACTACAACGGGAACCCCGGCACTCTATTTCAACCAACCTGCCCGGTATATTCCTGGTCATCTAACTGATTTTGGGGGAGAATACAGAGAGCCCGATGCCAGTGCCGCTTCATTCCGGTCTTCATACTATCTTCCTTTCCTGCGGTCTAAATGTCAGGAAATCAAAAGAAGCCAGTCGAGGAAGGTTCTTCGCTGCCCGAACTTAACCAACACATGGCGTAGTAGACTACGAGACGGGGGGGGATCAATCCTTGAAGAACATCTGCTTTGCTGCCGCAAGTCTGGGACGGCTGATCGGGGAAATACGTGGACAGTGAAATTCCTCGACTCTTCCAGCGCCGCTGTCGGCACTTCTTAGTTGGATGTCAGCCGCCATCTCACCCATGACCTGGAGTCGTGGGCGAACCTTTCCTGACACTCTTTTGGTTCTGTGCCATTTCCGGAGCATCTTGCCACTCCCAATTTCTCCACAGGCAGTCAACCAGGTCCCAGTCCTCTGGGTATGAGCGTGCAGTGAGTTCATATAGGGTAGTCATCAACTGACGATCGCACCACGAAATGGCGAGAGACTGTATTATGAACACACATAATCAGGCGCTAGTAATTAATAATGTAGTGAGAGTTTGAAAGTCGGCTAGGCACACCAATGCCCTGTAAAACATGTATTTTTATTGGTCCCGCAAGCCAATTTTTGGCTCCACATGGCAATCCCCCCGCCGTCACCCGCACTTCTTCGTCGTATTACAGTATTACTTGATACGGGGGGGCGATCCCTCCGTTCTTTAACGCCGTGAGCTTGCGACCCTCACTTGGCCTTCGTCTCCCCATGTTCTGCTTCTCTTCTTCTCTGCATCATCCTCTCACTCTCCACTCCCCCGCCGATATCGAACACCACTCACCCCTCTACTCTTGTATGCAATCTCGACCCTCGTATGCGCGTCTCCCTATTTTGTCACCCCTGACCGATACTCGCGTTGCTCGATTTTTCCGTCGATAGCTTGAAAGTCGGCTCATACACCAAATCAGTGTCATATTCACCCCGGGTCGGCGCCAGGCGCGCCCAACGCAGACACAATGCCAGGAATTCTTCCTATGAAAGTTATTAAAGTCGGCAATAACACACAAAGCCGTATCGCCCAAGCCTGTGATCGATGTCGAAGCAAAAAGATCCGTTGCGACGGTGTCCGCCCATGTTGTACTCAGTGCGCCAATGTCGGCTTCGAGTGCAAGACCAGCGATAAACTCAGCCGGCGAGCTTTTCCTCGCGGATACACCGAGTCGTTGGAAGAGCGGGTGCGAGCTTTAGAATCCGAAGTTAAGGATCTCAAGAATCTGTTGGATGAGAAGGACGAGAAGATTGATGTGCTCTCTCGGATACACTCTTTCACTTCGCCTTCGCAGCAGAAGGCTGCGTCCTCTGCGTCTCCGCCGTCTCAGCTGGCTAGATCAGCAGCCCCCGCCTCAAACGAGGACGCTGTTCATGTTCCAGAGCCAGTGCCGTCCAGTGTTTCCAATGAAGTTGAGAATTCTGGAGTGTCAAACACTCGTGGCTTCACTGGTATTTACACCTCCCACTTATACGCAGACACCATAGTCTGCCGACAAACTTGAAATATCAAAACTAACAGTGTATCCAGATGTTTTTACCTCCAAACTAGCAGGCCAAGGCCGGTTGGCACCTGAAACTTCCACGAAGGCTTTGACTGCGTCTCCAGCCCCCATTTCCAATTCCTGTTGCGACCAGGCTTTAAAAACGGCACCTCGTCTTGTATCAGATCAACTTATCAACATCTTCTTCCAAGAATGGGCTCCGCTTTATCCAGTCGTCCACCGACCTACCATTCTGAAGACATACGAGCAATACCTTTCCAACTCGGAGACTTTCCAGGGAAACAAGCATGAAGTTGCTCAGCTGAATTTGATATTTGCCGTTGCCGCGCTTTCCGCCAAAGTAAGTTTCATATTCTTCGGTTTACCAGACTCAATGCTAATCTCTGTAATAGTCGAGAACAAACCAAGATCCCATCCTATTCGAGGAGAATTGGTCGCCGATCCTTGAGTCACTATCTGGCGATATTTCCATTTCGACATTACAGTGCTATGTGCTTGCTCAAATGTATTGCTTAACAAAGGGCGACTACTCGAGTGTCTTGCGTTATCGTGGTCTTGCTGTTGGTCTTTGCCACCAGTTGAAACTCCAAAAAAGTCAGAAGCGCTTTTCGTCCAACGCTCTTATTGCTGAAACTAGGAAGAAAGTATTCTGGTGCCAATATGTCTTGGATCGGTACGAATTGATCTTCCATATTTGATCGAGACCGTCCCGCTAATTTATCATAGACTTTGCGCGACCTTAACCGGTCTACCTGTCCTTCTTCGCGAGGAACACGTCCAAACCGAGTATCCCGAAGATATTGACGATGAGAATGTAACGGAAGCCGGGTTTTTACCTACTTTGCCCGGCGAGTCAACACGTATCTCTAGCGCACTCGCCCTGTTCTCTGCATCTCGAGTCTTAAATAGCACGCTGGACTCTATTTACCCGTCGGATGGCGGCTATGAAATTCCTCTGTCAAAGATGCGCTCCACTTCTGAACAATTGGAGAAGTGGGTGAAGGGTCTTCCTGCCCATCTTCGTTTGGAGTTTTCGCAAGACAAGCCCAGCACCAACGTCATTAGCAGCCGATCACCATTGTTGGTAAGTGCATCATTTTTACAATACATGCAACGCCCACCTTTACTAATTTGTTGAAAGTCTCTGGTATATTATTTCATTCGCTCTCTCATCCACCGTCCTGCTGTCTGTTTCGGCGAGGATCATGTCCGCTCCCCGTCCGTCATTGCGCTTGCGGATTCCGGCAAGCACATCGTTCAGGTTCTCGACCTACTTGAGGAGCGGCGACTCAGCCTTTCTGTCAGCATTAACCGAAGAGAGCTCATCAGCGCTTCAGGGATCGGGCTTTTGTGGCAAAATATTGGCTTGAAGCGGGACAGCAAACTTGTTAAAGAAAGTCAGAAGGTGCTTACCACGGTCATCGATCAACTTGAGGCCGAGTCTTCTGTGGCTGCCGCCGAATTTAGTGCTTTGGCCACTATCTTGGTTTCACTAGACAATAAACGCTCATCAACCGCGCAGCCTCAGTCGATGAGCCCACCCATGCAGAAACCACTGAAATCCCCGAAGAAGCAGCTTGAGGCATGGAAGGCACGTTTGACGGGGAACCCAAGCCCGAATAACAACTCGCAGCAGAAGGCGGAGTCTGTATCACGCAGAAACACTGTCTCCGGTTCGAGTCCTGGTTTTGTCGAGCGTCAATTGCGATCCCCCAGCTGGGCAAGTCTCCCACCTGATAATGTTCAACAACACACTCCAATGGGCAAGGACTTCTATAATTCCGCCCTGGGTTATGACACCAATCAGCCCATGTCCTGCTCCGTCCCTACAGATGCACCAAATATGTCAATGTCGGATTGGGAATTTGTGGTGAGCGACATGGACCAGGGGTTCTCTAACATCTTTACTGGAATCTATGGTGGCAAGGATTGCGGAGAAGACCCTGGCCCATTCGCATCTCTGACTGCTGAATACATGCACAAGCAGGGCCAGACCATGCCACCCTTGTCAACATCCAGCGGTGAACTACAAGGACTGTCACCCGAAGCATGGTCTGCCACCAGCAGTAACGATATGCCTCATCCTCAAGAGCTCGCAACTCGGAGCGTATATTCTGACGAAAGCCTAGGTAGCAGAGATGATTCTTTGCTTCCAAGCCTGCCGTTCGCTATGGAAGAACGAAATGGTAGCATCCTGGATCCATTGCAGGGCGTCGTTATTCCTCCCGGTGATAATGAAATTGATGAGTTCGGCCTAGTCAACGGCTGGGATCGACGGCTGGCCGTCTAAATCTTTTATGTCTTGCTCTGCTTTGGTTCACGTCTTGTGTTTCTTCGGTATATATATGGATATATATGGAGT